ACCCACTCTTACGGGAGTCTTTTGAAGTCCAGCTGTCCACTCGCAAGTCAGCCCAGACAGGTGTTGGGCATGCATGCACTATGTGGGCCAATGACCTTGACCCCAAGATTTGTCCTGTGCGTGCCTTGATACGTTTAGCTGTTGTCTATGGTACAACAGTTAATTTGACGGGTGCATTGTTTCTGAAAGTCAATAAACATGGTGCCATATTGCAAGATACACCCATCGTACGTGGCCCAAAATGATTTGAAGTCTTTATCAAATTTGTCATTTAGACGACTAGTGTCATGGGACGAGCATTGACTCAGGATTTGCAGCAACTCGGCTACAAGTCCTGGGCGATGTACGGGACCCACTCATTTCGTCGAGGTGGATGCCAGCACCGAATCAAGAACAAGGGCTGGACTGTTGATATGGTCGCTGCCTGGGGTGGATGGTCTCAAGTCGAGGCAGTGACAATGTTTCGCTACTTCTACTCTCCGAAGGACAACCACGAGTTTATGGAAGAGTATGATAGAAATGTACCAAAACGCCTGCACTCAATCTAGCCCAATCTAGTACTTCTCTTTGCCTATTTCCCTCCAGATCTCCCATTTGTTCTTTCCCTCCCACTTTGTGTTCCAGGCATCCTCCGAAAACACACTATCATTCTGGTACTCCTCCAAAGATTGCTCCATCTGCAAATCCTTGTCACGGTGGGGGATGGCCTCAACGACACGACGCAGTGGATGCAACTTTGCAACCGGCTCTGTGGATTTGCGCTTCTTTCCTGTGGAAGGATCTGGGGTGAATGTAAAAAATGTGAAGAACCACTCCTTATCACCGTTGAACTTGTTGGCGAGCTCAGATCCCAGTCGTTCACGTCGTGTAATTGTTACTTTGATTGTTGCCCACATCGGATTTGTAGCACGATCCTTTTGTGGACCGTACAATTTGCGGATCTTGGCCACATCCCCATTCTCGATCTGAGTAATCACTTCACGCAAACTGTCAGCACGGTTAAGTGCTTCAACCGACATGCCCCCGCTGGCCAAAATGATGGAATCCAAGGAAGTTGTCGGCTCAATTGGGGATGTCAATGGTGGGGGGGCCACAGTTGATGTAGAAGATGATGGAACCGATGGTGAATAGGAAGAGGAAGTAACATTGAGATTCAATGGCAGACGACCCCCAGTCGAAAGGGATGCAGAAGAGTTAGGAATGGTCGGAGGTTCATTCTGATGGAAATATTAAGCATCATATCATCATGTCGGAAGAAATTGTGCTGACTCTAAGTGAAGCCTGAAGTTTAAACAATGTCGAAACTGAGCCTATATCACCCTCTTTTGCTGATTGAATCAGTGCCTGGATTGTTTCGGTGTCCATACTTCCGAGAGTATCATTCTCAGATGAAGTACTGGACTGGAATGAAGTAGTGAGAGCCTCGTCGATTGCAAACTTAATGCTTGGGAGTAATTGTTCTGCAATGAAGTTCAGTATTTGAATTGTTGTGAGTATTAAACGTACGGTGGCTGGGTTGGATGTCTGCGCTCTCAGCAATGAGTTGAAATGGAATTCCAGCCGAGTCCCTTTCTTGCCCATTCAGACCCCAGTGCACGTAGATGGGACCATTGCATTTCATTTATGGTCCTATCCCGAGTGACTGGTCCAATGGTCATGGCAGCAGGGATATTTGTGAGATCAATATTGTAGTAGTCTGCAAGTCGATGACGCCTAGCCTCAATATTGCCGGTTTTGACAAGAACCTTTTTGCCTCCTGCAGTTTTGCTGGCAGTGTTGGCAGCATCAATCCAGAAGTTCAGTTGAACACCAGAAGCGGCCGTGAGAGAAGCAGCGTCAAGGTCCGCGGGACGTAGTGGCATCGGCGAAGAGCTATCAGTACCGCGTGGCGCCGTTGATGGGAACACCCCGAAAAGGTTGATGGGCTCGGCCATATGGTCACGTCGGGCTCAGATGAGTAGAAAGAAGGAGGGAGAGAGCAAGGAAAACAAGGGAAAGGAGAGGTCTAAGACATTATAGGAGCCAATTTGTTCATTTTCTGTCTGTGTGTTCATGCCAACCTTTCTGAGTCATTTTATACATCTATTATAATGATAATCTACCTGAATGGGCTTTGCAAGGACCAAGGGAAAATTAACTGGTCAAGTCTGCCTCATATTTGAACTTACTTACCTCTTTCGGTCAGCGGCGGTAGCGCTCGATCGACGGAGGCAAACCAACCCGAGTGCGCGGGGTCCCGAAGCGGAACGTTCCGTGCCAAACACGACCACCGCGTGTCCCGGGACACGGCACGTGATTTATTCCCTAAACGGGGCGTGTCCCACGAAAGAGAAGCTAATTTTGGGGACAATCCTTTGCGGGAGCTTCACGGGGCCTCCCGATGAAACGTTATAAAGACAACTGAATCTAGACGTGAATGCACCATGAGCAGTGCGGCGGAGCTGGACTCATTTACCGCACCAAGGTATTTATCCGATATCAAACCATGGCCTGCACCGTCCACGTTTCCGCAAGAGCTCATTGATATAATCGTTGACGACCTCGGAGACGATCCAACCACTCTCAAGACATGTTCCCTACGTGTCGACCTGCACACGAGAGTATAGTGCGACGCGCGGGACGACAACTTGTGTCGTGCCTGCCGCGGCCAAGCACCACTTCAATGGCTACGATCTCATACCTGCACACGGGGAAAATGATCAATATTAATTAACACAAGGTCCGACAGGCGTGTAGCCTCAGGCCGGAAAGACGAAGACAGGACTATCGCTGGACATCCGTCGCGGTGGTCGGGGGCTCAACCAAGTTAATGATGTCGACGCGCTGCGCGCGATATGACCCAGCAGCGCTCCAGAAGGATGATCGATGGTCCAGTCTGTCTTCCGTCCAAATGGGCGGCTGCAGCATTTGCGCGAGTGTATGATCTTTGGGTTCGCGAAATGTCATGGTTGTCGCCGATTGTTTCATAGCATGGAACTTCATTTCCTATCAAGAAAATACAATCCAATCTGTGCCAAATAAAAGCCCTCCTCTGCTAACCAGTGCCACCGAACATACCATACATGTAACGAGAATTTCGCGATACTACACGAGCATGTCACGATCTTTCCTATTTCCCCACTGAGCCCACTGCTTCCTATCAGACATGAACTGTCCCCAGAGCTTGGTGATAAAATCCTCCTCTTTCATAGCTTGCAACAGCGCATTCGGGTCTTCCTCAAGATTGGGGTCGTCCTCACACAAACTGTTGATCTTCTCCTTGACTCGGACGGAGACACCGTAGAGGTAGTGGCGCGCGTCGTGGCTATTTTGCATTCGTCAATTTTCTTCTCCTTGAATAAGTGCAAAGCGACGAACTAAGCTAGGGCTCGGTTGAAGCATCGCTTACCGATGATGAGCTCGAAACGCGGCGGGTACGGTAAGCTGCGCGCCTCCGCGTTATTCTCAAATTGCGTGGCCTTGCCATACTTGATCTTCTTCTCTGGCAAGTCCTATACGCGCACTTGAGTACAGCCGTTCACGCACATAGTCAGACGAGGAATTAATTACCTGGAACGTATTGGGGTCGTAGATGCCCTTGTGCGTCGAGAGCGTGTACGAGCCGCCGAGGTCGCACGAGTACATCCCGCGCGTCCAGCAAGCGTGACAATCACCGCTACCCTCGCACGACACGCCGTCCCTGAGGCGGGGTCGCAGGTTCAGCGTCGCAATGAAGGGAGCTTTCCAGGTCGACAGTGTCATCGAGTCTGCGAGTGGGCCGATGTGCCGCTTCAGAGCCGTGACTGCCGTCTCGAAATATTCCTCTGACAAGAAATGAGGGTGGGAAGGGCAGTGTATATGGAATACACGTACTTTCGTCCGCCGTCGCAGTAGATAAGTATTCGGGGTCGGACAGTGCGATGATGTACTCCACGAACACGGCAAAGTGCTCGTCGAGCTCGCGGGTAGCATAGCGCATGAGATCAAGTGCAGCATCCGCGTCGGCGTCGGCGTCTCCGTCGTTCTCCTCTACGATGAAACTCTCCTCCGGGTTCTCCATTTCCAATTCTTCTCCGTCTTCCTCCTCCTCCTCCTCGTCATCTTCGACTTCTGGAATTGGTGTGAACTCTCTCCACATATCTTCCTCCTTGTCCTCGTGAGCAGCACCTGCCGGGACGGGTGCGGGCGACGACTTGTTCTTCCGGGCCTTTGCGTATCGCTCGAGCGCACTGGCGTTGAGCTGTTTCCGAGTCGGCTTTGACGAAGTCGGCTGAACCGGCACTGGAGAAAACCGTAAATTCAACACGCGAGGACGGCGAAATACACGCACACGCAAGGTCCTCGGGATCGTCGTCAGACTCTAGCACAAGATCATCCTTTGCAGGTTCCTCCACGCCCTCCTCCGAGTCTGACTTGCGGCGTAGCCTCCCTTTCCGTGGCGCATTCGTGTCAGAGTCGCTCTCCGCATCCACAGGCGATGACTTGACGCGTCGTAGTCGTTTTCGCGCGGCGGTAGCTTCCTCTTCGTCGGAATCCGACGGCACTTCAATCTTGCGCGTCGCCCTCCTCTTGGGAGGCGAAGCCACCGCACCGGAACCGCCGTCTGAATCCGCGTCAGAGTCCAGAAATGGCGCGGGAGACGGCGATTTCACGCGCCGAGCCTTCTTCGCGGTTTTCGGTGACGGTGAAGGTTTAAGTCGGTCGCTATCTTCCCTGTGAGACTTGGCCACCCGGCGCTTTTTGCGCATGACCGGATTCAGGATGTCATCGGCGTTGTGGTCGGATTCCTGCACCTCGACGATGGACTGGGTCTTTGTCGCGACGCGACGCGCCTTTTTCTTCAGCGGCGGGCTTTCAGCTGCTGGATTCGCAGTGCGCTTTCGTTTGGAAGGGGCCATTGGTGTGAGTCCAGAATACTTGATAAGATGAAAGTAAGTAACGAATGCGGTTGGATTTATCATTCAAATTCTGGACGGCTCAGCTCGCCAAGGAATGGACCTCTTGGGAAGGTTGATATATACTCCCTCTTAGCTCAGTTGGTAGAGCGCGTCACTAGTATTGCCATATAATATAGTCTCATACGAAATGACGAGGTCAGTCGTTCAAATCGGCTAGCGGGAATTCGGTTTCGCTTTTATTTTATTTTTTCTGTGATCTTCCTTTTTTTTCTCACCTTTCCGATTTTCATACTTCGCTCCTTTGCAACTATATCTCAAATTCACCTCGCTTCCTGGTTTTCTCCAGGCTGTCAGCTGACGGTGAACGCTGGATCATCGCACCACTGTGACTGCTCCACTGCGGAGCATGGCGCATGAGTCGAGGGACATGAAGCGGTGCCAGTGGGACTGGTCTACCTCCCCTGCAGTAGCCAAAACTGCGCACTGCAAATAGATACTCGTACTCCTTTGGCGCCCTTCGAGAAGTTACAGGCTGTGACTAGTAGGGCTGAATAGGTGACTCGCCAAGTGGGACTCTATGCATCGCTAGACGATTTCAGGCGACACGAGTGACAGATCCAAGTTTCTCAGACGTCTCGCCTGGCTTGGTCCAGCTTGGCCTCTCAAGAGTCCTATTCAAGCTCGGTTGACCATCAAATGGAGGCACGAATGGTTGTAGTATGAATGGTCTCATACGTCTCGGCCGGAGCTCGAGGTGTTCATCTTCGCGCTGAATTATCTCATATGGCCTTCATTAACGCTAATTACCACGCGCGGGAGCTCGCTGCCTTCCCCGTCTTCCGAGCTTTGGCGTTCAAGGACTTAAGGCCTGGATCCTCCGGGCTTCGGGCTTTCTCGGACCTCGCTATGTCCACCTATTCTTACTGGAAACCCAGACCTTTCAGAACTTTAGTGATCCGGCCGGCCTTTCAAGATGGAGAGATTTCCGGCGGCTCTCTATTCTTTTCTGAGATTTTTCGGCGCTAGTGCTGGGTTTGGATGGTTTAATACCTCGTATAATACGAGGGCATCCAGCAGCTCCGTCGTCTAGAATGAGGGGTCTGTATAATACCTTAAATACCGGCGCTGCCGGCCCGAAATTTTTGATGTATTTAATGTATTAAACAGGTATTTAATGGTGTATTTAATGTATTTAATACACCTACCATGCCAACAGGTCCCCGCAATGTCCACTTGACGCCCGGCTCCTTCCCAGGCTTGCTCGTCGGCTTTGAAAGCGAGGGATTGGGTATCAAGTTCTGATCCGCCGGCCCCATTTGGCATTCCGAGCCTTGCCGACCGCTCATAAATTTAATATGTTATAGCCCACAGATGTCACCGTTAAATTGCTCCACAGTTCTCATGAGCCTTGGGAGCCTTTTTAACTTCTATCCAAGCCTTTGAGGTATTCAATACCTATTAAATACATGGCCTCTGGGGGTCCTCAAGTATTTAATGTATTATACCTGGTATTTAATGTATTGTATGAAACAAACAATACATACAGCATTTAAAACCCAGCACTATTTTTCGCACTTCGTTCGGTCAGACCAGGCCTCGTCTATCTCAGTCTCTGTTTTGGTTTCTTCTGTCGGCCCCGAGCCACTGTCTTGTATCGGCCTCGTAATTCAAATTCAGGCTCCTTTTCACCTCAACAACCCTCACGTCTCATGTTAAATGGTTCAGATTCATTCTCCCCATACCCCCTGTCCTCTCTCGCGTGCCAAATCGGAGAGACGCCGATCATGATCGAGCCGCTGCTTCCCCACGAAGCTAGCCTTACTCGCTCGCGAGACCTGGTCGTGTGCGCAAGTCAGTCCTCCACATGACTCAATTAAAGGTGACAGATATTCGATTAACAAGGTTGAGTCTACAGATGCCAAGGGGCTCGGCCGTCTTCAGTTCTATAATGGTGATCCCTGAACGACCGTCTTCAGAAGATCACCTCACGAGCCTAGTCTTCAATGTCTTATGTCTCTCGTTCGTCGTTCAGTGGTGGAATTACTGCCATTCACCAAGGAGCATATGCCATGTAATGTTGTGCGGCCGGAAGATAGGCTTTTGAACGAGTAAGACACGAGTTTACCCCAATTGAATTGTCTGACTGCGTAGGTCTTGGCCTCCCAGGAGATGAGGTGAATGAGGCCAAGGAAATGTCAAGGTTGATTCTGACAGACGTGGTAAGGATTTACGGTGACATTCACCGCAAAATTTTCGGACAACTACTCTTCCAGTCGAACGAGGAATTCTTCAAATCCTTACATACACGTCCCATTTCGCAAGACGGCTCTCATGCCCATCCCGCCGGCTACATATCATTTCCGTACGACGTCCCGGTGCCGGGCCCGGTCGATAAATCGTTCCCGGGTGCCGTAAGATCTTGCCGCCGTGACCGCGTATGCGCAAGGTGGACAGCCGGCCATCATGTAGTCGGGCGACGGGTGCGCGGGGGCCCAGCGCTGCTGTCCGATTTGGTGGGCATGTCTGAATCTTCGTTTGTCGAGGGCGCGCGAAGTTAATTTCTGTCGAGAACACTCTGCAACCCTAGATAACTTCCCCTGCTTCGCGCCCCGAGGAAGACCTCACCAAGCGATGAACGTTCGCCCACCCACCGACACATACATGATATGGTATTTAATTCAACCTATCGAGGGATCAGACATTTCAACCAACGACGGAATGCCGACAGCGCCACGTATTATGTTAATTCCCGTTGTCCGTCGATTGACAGCCCTAACAACACGGAGTAAGATAAGGTTACAGGTACATATCTCCTTGGTGTACGTAAAATCAAATTTTATTCTTGATTCAAAATGTTGAAATCATATCTACACTCTCTGGATAATCGCTGCCAAAATATTTGATATGACAGAAAAAATGTTCGTGTGGACAGTCCATCCTCGTCTGCAACGCGCCTTCAAGCTTCAAAAGTTCAAAAGAAGTTTGAACAAATATTGAATGTCGAGCGCTTGCCACGAGAAAAATTAAAATGAACGGACGTGCGTCGGGATCCCACGCCATTCTCGCCCGCCCAGCAACATTACCCTCGACAGCCGTGAGCACTGGGCGTCCCGCTGGAGGCGCCGCACACCTCGGAACAACGCTGCCCTGACAGTTGGGCGGAAAAAAAAACCGGGATTATCAAATGTGCAACGCGCTGCCCTGCACCTTGAAATTCCACATACATGCATGTCGGCGCCGGAGGACGCCGATCCAGGGTGGGCGGATCACTGGTAAATGAAAACGCGAGAGCTGGTGATCCCGAGAGAAAAAAAAAGTGTCAATCAGATGCAGGCTTTGACCTAGCCGGCCGCGTGTCGACGCGTGTGGCGATATTCACAGCGTCGAGGACCTCCCCGCTATTCCCGGTGTTCAGGCAAGCGGTCCATTGTGGGTCCATTCGGGACCTTGAACCTGGTCCAACTTTCCGACGCGCCAGAAAAAAAAAGCGGCCGAGCGTTCGGCGCCTGCGTGTCCCGGCCCCCGGCGAAAAACGGGCTAGATACATACCGGTACCCGACGCGTACCCTCGCGTAAAATTTTACCGAGCCTCGTCCACGTTGCGCGGATCACGAAAAAAAATTCCCCGGACCCCGTTTTTGGCGACTCGGCGAGGGTCGTGTGAACCGGTTGTGTTGAGTGTCGACGTGGAGCAATTGGATTGTACGCCTGCCATGCACGTTCGCCCGTTACGAGAGGACGCGAGGGACGAGGGGCAGGGGACGCCACCGCAAAGACCCGCATGTTGTGGGTCCAGATCGAAGGGACGGTTGAGGAAGAAGAGGAAAGAAGAGGCCTGAAGACGAGAGCCAGGAACGTTCGCCGGGTGTGGGTGTGGGTGCGGGTGCGGTCGCGTCGTCTGTGGGCAGGTCGCTCTGTTGCGTGGTTGTCAAGACGGCGCGGAGGCGGATCAGCGATTTGATTCCGCCCCAGCCGGAAGAAGATTCAACTCCAGACTCCGCTTTTGGTACTTTTGGCGATTCCGTCGGATTCCGGGTTCGCATCAGGATGACGGAGGACGTATGTACGAGCACGCCATCGATAACCTGGGAAGCCGCCGATACTGCAACATATTTGATAGTCAAAAGATGATTTGAACCGCGCAGTTACATAAGTGATAGTCTGGAGTGTAGATGGGAACCCAGGTGCGTTGACCAAAAAAATGATATTTTTTGCCCAGTATCGAGCGTCACCCTGCTGGTGAGCACGTACTTTCATTTCAATTGTGGATTCGGGACCCACAAGCCGCTGCCAATATCTAAATAAAAATGCATCTGGTGCCCGGGCCCAGTCTGGACCCGGAAGTAGACGATTCCTGACGTTACACGCAACATATGGACATTGGCAGATTCTCCAGCTCCATCCATGATCCATCGTGGTGGTGTAAAATTGGGGCGCGTTATCTAGTGATATATAAACCGACGTGGATTCGAAACTCACTTGGGTTGCACCTCCTCACAAAAATAAAACAACAAGCGAGTGACTCACCCACCGCTGGAATACGTCAATGGTGTTGATAATATCAAGCACGCTGCGATAGGGCAAGCGATGTACACCATCCACCTATCGACCCCGAGGATTCGAACACCGCGCAGGGATCGTCTCTCGGGCGTGAGCGTGGGGATGCGTTCTCGTGTTCCAATAAAAGATTCGAGATTGCAGAGCGGGTATATTCGGACACCCATCGACGCCTATCGACGCCGAGGGATTCGAACACGGCGCGGGGATCGCCTCGTCGTGCCCGGAGCGTGGGCGTGGGGATGCGAATTCGATTGACGGCTGTTCCAAGAAAAGACTTCAGATTCCGTGGGGGTATATTAGGACCCCGGCTAATAGGTGAGGAACCCAGACCCCAAACCTGACGAATTTGGGTCATTTTGGGCCATTTTGCCAGTGCCAAAACCTGACGAAAAGGGCCAAAATTGACATTTTGCCTGATCCCGAAACCTGACGAAAGGCCCCTGGCCTGGGGAACCCGGATCCCGAACCTGACGTGGATGCCTTACTGAGTGGTTGAGTGTAGAACTTTCTGAGTCGTAACTTTGTTTTCGTTTTCGGAACTGTACTGCGCTGTTGGCTACGTTTGTTTTTTGTATGCTACGTATATTAGCTATTCCTCTTTCTTATCACGTTCCGGACGTAACAAAAATCAAATCGCCGAGCGCGGACGAGGTCTCAAACTTTTTTTGTCCTGAAATTTTAGAATGCTTCCATATTCTATCATTGTACAGTATGATTGCAGCCATCACTTCATGACAAGCCACTTCCAGGTTTCAAACAAAGCACTATCGTATCTTGCCACCCTTCACTTTTCTTTGCCGACTTGCATCTAACCCCAGTGTCACTGCTACCGGCCTCGAGCTTACGGTGGATGACGTGGTTCTATTCAGGGAATTAGCTCTCCAGAAGTGTCTTTTCCCATTTTCCCGCCGAATTTGAGCCGTTTTGACGGTTTCCTGATGATTTTGGGCATTTTTTAACCCTGTTCCACATTTCCTGACGAAAATTCGAAAATTTGCCCTTGCCAGTGCCAAACCTGACGAAAATGCCCAAAAGTCCCAAAAAAAACCTGACTTTTTTCCAGTTTGGAAATCTGGGTTCCTCACCTATTAGCCGGGGTCCTGGTATATTCGACCTGCGGTCGACAGGGACGGCGTTCGGGAGGCGACGGCGGTTCTGTTATCCAACAGATAAGTCGCATATAGAAGTCCGGAGAACCCGAAAACACCGTCAATCAGATTGAGAGATGACGCGTCGTCGAAGATCCCGTTCCGAGGACCCGTTCGTGTGTATTGATTGAGTTTTTTAATTTCCGCGCCCGTCGATGTCGCTATTTTGGCGTTTATGGCGAGACCTTCTGGTGAGTCACTGTTCGCCGGGGCCAACAGTACGTATCGGTGTGTATATAACTGGAGCTGGGTGGAGGCGCATGTTCGGGGGTTGGGAGCGAGTCGGAGAAGGCTCGGGGAGGGAGGAGAGATTGATGTTGATGGCGTGGTGGATGTGCACTGTTGAAGGGGCGATGAGGGCATCGTCGGGCGGGGCTATCATCCTTCGTCCTCGTCGACGTGGCCGGGAGCGAAGGCTACTCATATTGTGCGCCCCGGCACGCGACCAGTCCGCCTACGCATCAAGTCGGCGGCACGCGACCTCCTGACGCGTGGTAGGCTGAGACATTTGATTACGGGGGTTGAGGGCAGGATCACGGGGCGGAATGGGTGGGCCGTCGGGAAACCGGCGGGGCGCGCAGCTCCCTGCGGTTGTCGTGTGACGGAACGGCGGGCACGTTTGCGCTCGGTGTAGTCAGTGATGGTGGTGGGCTGCGGGATGTTGCGGGTGATGGGGACGGGGGGTGCCGGGCGGGTGTGTGGAAGAAGAGAAGGATTATATGCAGGAGTCAGAATAGGAGAAAGACAACGGAAGTAAATCTGACGAGGGGTACCGGTGCGGGGTAAGACCAATCCGAGGACGGCCTTCTCATTACGAAAACGGGGCGAACGTTCCTCGTCTCTCTAGTGCCAAGGATGGGGACACCCGACACCGTAATACGTTGTGTTGAAACAAATTATTGATTTTGATGTGATTCACTTTTATTCTGATCCTTTCATTCTTCATTACTCCTGCCTGCGACAAAAGTCTAGTCAAGGAAAGTAGACAACAATGTCTCTTTCTCCACCCTCAATACTGCTCCCCTCTCGCCCGAGCACAAACTCGCTTTCCTCCGACGACTCCTCAGCTTCAAACAGATATTCAAACTCTTCAGCCTCCTCTGCCAGCTCCCACACTTCTGCGGACACCCCGACAAACGACAAACACTCCACCCCTATGAGCCCACCCACCAGTTCTCTCCGCATCCGTTTTGCGCCCCTCCCGGACCCACGGCGGAGTGTACTGGTCGATGAGCTCCCATTGCCCCTACCAATCGAGGTCAAAGTGGAAGCACCCCTGCCGTCCTTGAGCTCAAACTCGCCGACGGCCTCCCCGCTCAGCACACACCCGCATCTACCCGTGCACAACCACAGTGCAAGTGCACCCCCGCCGTCCTCGTACACCCCGCCCCGCATTGAAGGCAAGAGCGCAACGTGGCCGAAGCCGCGCTCCCTCCTCCGGTCCTTCCGCCGCGGCGCCAACACGCCCGCCTCCAGCACAGACAGCCTCACGCCGACGCCCTCCCTCGAAACCCCCCTCGCGGACCTCGGCCTCACGCGCTGGGCGTCCAGCACCTCCGTGGCCAGCACAAACGGTGGCAGCCCCCTCGCGCGCACGCAGAGCCAGAGCAGCGTCGCCGCGCCCAAGAAGCGCGGCCGCGCGCTCTTTGGCTCCAGGGACTCGGAGAAGAAGGAGGGCAAGAAGAAGAGCACGTCCGTCCCGCCCGTCCCTGCGCTCAACCCCTTTGCCAGCAGCGCAGGGAAGCGCGGGACACGCATGCTGAATGGCCGCGTCTACGGGGGGAAGAACAACGGTGCGTCCCGCTCTCTTTCCATTCCTGCCGTACATCTAACGTCTTTAATATAACACAGCCGCAAACCCCTTTGCCTCCGCCCGCGACGAGGAGCCGACGTTCGTCGAGTGGGGGTACGGCGGGATGGGGAGCGTCAAGAACAACGCCCACGGCCACTCGGCGTGGGGCAAGGTGCAGAGCAACGCCGCGACGTCGACCCCCAACGGCGCCGCGAACGGCCACGTCGGCATGGGCGTCGTGTCCGGCGGGGACGACGACGACGACGGGAGCGGGATGGGGTGGGTCAAGCGCCGGAGGGAGGCCCGCGAGCGCGAGGCCCGGGAGGCGGCCAAGCAGCTGGAAAACCCCAAGGAGGGAGAGAAAGAGAAAGAGGGCCCAGAGGCGGGGGACGGCGAGAGCATGACCACGACCACGCCCACGGGCGAGGTCGCCCCCCACCCCCACCCGCACGCGCCGCCCGACCTTCCGTCTCCGCTTGCCTTGCCCTCCCCCCCCTTCGGCTCCCCGTCCCTGGGCTCAGGGCACGCCCCGCCCTTCAGTGCGTCCCCGCTGGGCACCCCGGCCCTCCCCTCCGCCTCGAGCGGCGAGGAGCACGTCCTGCGCGCCGTCACGCTGCCCGCGCACTTCCGCGGGCACCACCACTCGCACCAGCGGAGCAGCTCGAACGCGCTCGCCGCGCTGGCGGCGGCGCAGGACGCCAAGCCAAAGCCCGCGTCCGTGTCGTCGTCCGAGAGCATGTCCTCGTCCAACTCGGACGAGGAGAGCGATTCGGAGGACGAAGACGGCAAGGCAAAGGCCGCGGAGGGCAGCGTCGAGCCCGCGGCGGCCAAGGGCGGGAAGGCGGCGGAGGAGGAAGAGGCGGACGATGAAGACGAGGACGAGGACGAGGACGACGAGGCGGAGGAGGTCGAGCGGCGGCGCACGGCGCTCAGCGCGGGCGTGGAGAAGATCAGCCGGCACAAGGAATAAGGCGCCGGTGCTGTGTACCCGCGCCGCGGACGACAGGAAGACGGGGCGAGGAGGAGAAGACCGAATGAAACCGAAACCACCCCCTGCTATCGTATTTATGTGCTCCGGCCCCGGCCCCGCCCTGCTTTTGCTGTCGCTTCTTGTTGTGTTTGTCCCCCGCCTCCGCTCCGCCACCCTCCTGATCACGTGGACGCGACGGGGGATGGACACCCCACCCCCCGCGCCCTGCCCTGCCCTTATATGCGCACACGCACCGCCGCACCGCATTACAAAAGCCCGCCAGCGGCCGCGGGTGCTATGCATCTCAGGTCTCCCACCGCACCACCGCACCCGCATGCCCTAAAACATGTTACGCTTACGCCCGATACCCCTCCCACCGCAAGTGTAGATCCCCAACCCAACCCAACCCAACCCAAGAGTATCCTATCTCCGTTTTAGTCTGTGAGTCCCCCCCCCCCCCCCCCCCCCCCCCTCCCCTCCTTTCTCAGACAAAACACCGACTGACACCCCGTGCAGCCTACCCCTATCCACGTTTTATTAGTTTCGGGTCTTACGCAGGTCTCTGTAGGTACACTACGTTTTTTTTGGTTTATTTCGACGTCGCTGCCTGTTCAATCCTACATATCGTACACTTGCCAACTCCGTCCATCCCCATACATTGCCTCAAGTTATCGCCCCGTACCAGTACCTACTAACCCAAGTACGCTTTACTTGCACCGCACGCAGAACTCTTTCGTGTACATACATGCTCTACATGGCTCACGGCTCAGTTGACGTTCATGTATAAATACAAGGAGGAAAAAATGTAGATGATTTCCGAATAGAGGATATGAAAAAAAGAATTCCCGCTAGCCGATTTGAACGACTGACCTCGTCATAGCACAAAATGTGGCTTTTGCAATACTAGTGACGCGCTCTACCAACTGAGCTAAGAGGGAATCAATATCCTGTTGTCAGGTTCCGTGTAGGTCTCTGGTCCGATGAGACCAACCATGCAAAATCTGCAAAAGAACCGACGGAGGGCCGGAATTGCGGTGAAACTTATTTACGGGAAGGAAGGCAGGATGTCCGAACATTAGTAGGTCGGTAGGTACTTATATTTCAGCACGGTGGATGTTGAGCGGCCGCATCAAATGCAGATGGATAACAAGAAAAAATGTTCCCGCTAGCCGATTTGAACGACTGACCTCGTCATTCCACCCTATGATTCAGATTTGGAATACTAGTGACGCGCTCTACCAACTGAGCTAAGAGGGACTATGCACAGCATTTCCTCCGACTCGTGTAAATTTCATTGGGCTCGAGAAGTGGAGGAAGAATGCGGTTATGTCAAGATGGGAGGTTGTGTGTAGAATATTATAGCAGCTTTCAGGTCACAGAGAAAGGAACTGAAGCATTGAGAAATTGGAAGAAGAATACAAAGGAGCCAACCTGTCTGAGAAATTCTCCTCTTTATAAAATAATGTTTGTCTGTCTGAAGGGCACCTTTGAATTCCAACAGGCAATCAGTGAGGATTTGGCACCCAAGGACGAGTGCCACGACAACCCAGGCGAAGTGCCAGGTATGCTGTTGAAGTTGGCGCTTTCTTCATTCACCTTTTATTTTTCGATTGTGTTGAAACTTTTTTTTTTGACCTGTTCAAAACTTTTTTTCCGAGTTGCTGAAAGTATTTATTTTGTTTTGACAACGTTCCAACTATTTTTTATCGTTTCAACATGTTCAAACTATTTATTTTAAAAGTGGTGAACCTTATTTTTTTCAATGTCGGGGTAACGTACAGAGTCGGGGGGTCGTGGGCGATGGCCGATGGGTCTTGACATCGCACAGCGCGTTGGCAGAGACCTGTTTGACGACATTGAACGCTGCACAAATTCAATTCGATGTGGACACAATGTATGGTCTTGTTGTGCAACAGTGGGTGTCGGCTATCTTCGGCTTTCTCTCTTCCGTCGCTCGTTGTCGACACCGCGCCACAACTTCAAGGATATCTCCAACACTGACCTTCCTGCAGAACTCCTACTGAGATACACTACTATTGAATACACCCTTGCCCACCCCGTCCAGGTCTTCTTGTTGTCAGCTTGAGCCTTATCTCGCCTACTCCCTTGTCGGCCTCATCACCTTTGGTACCACGGCAAGTGTCTTTCCCGTGATTCTTGTCTATACCCTAACACCCATGAAATAGGCTATGCAGAATGCAACAAATCCTATGTCTTCCTTGGTGGAAAGGAACACCAACCTAAGCAAATCCAGGACATGCCTTGGACTGAGCTCGCAATCACACGGCACCTTGACCTGGCAGCCAGCCGATGCCTAAGCAATCGGTCAGAGCTTCCCAATTTCCCTGGCCCATTGCCAATGATAAACGGTCCTTACGATGTGCATGCGTTGCATTGAGTGTCGCCATAGGGTTGTTGGAGGTGCGTTGTTGAGCACTTTATCACGTTGCACCTGCTCACCTTTTTACAGACCCCATACCTCAACACTGGTGGACGTTCATTCCCATTCCATCGAGCCCGCTCGCTTCTCCCTCCTCTTCCCCCCACCATTCCGGTGTGCACCTCCATGGTGCAGTACCTCACTCACCTTCAATGTTCCCCAGGCGTCGGCCGCTCGTCCTTGCTGTGTTTGCGCTGCTGCACGCCTGCTGTGTGCTGCAGTCCTTCCGCATCAACATTGATGCGATGCTCACCCACGACGAGGTGCAGGCAATGGCATGTGCCTGGCCTGCACTCACCGTGCTCACCATCGCGCCGCCACGGGACTCCCTGCGCCCGACACTGGATTTGAACCTCCAGACTCTCTGGGTGCTCGCGGTCGGGTGCCCGTGGCTGCAGCAGCTTGCGCTCGGGGTCAACACAGAGGTTTCACAGCCCTTCCGCCCTGAGGCACTGGCTGGGTGTGGGTAACAACATCGTTGCCTGCCTGAATATTTTTTTCTTGAACTCTTAGATGCTGGACCGACGGCGACGCAGATGAGTCTGCCTTTTACAGGCACGTTATTTTAATGTTCTATGCTCTAAGCTTTGGGACCGAGCACGTCTCATCATAGCAATAATGCCATTGTAGGTCCCTCCGACCAGCCCATAGACTGGACCGGCACATCTCGCTTGCAGTCGCTGGGCCGGTCATCCTCTATGAGGACGCTCTTGACTCCAGAACCGACAGCATTGTCGATCACAGACTCAACATTCTTGCCCGTTGAATACACTTACGTTCCCAGAGTGAGGGTTCTTTGCACATTTTTCTGAATTGTGCTTTCCACGCCTGTCCATCGTACACCTTTCTGTCCGTCTTTGTTCTCTAGTTGCACTCTTTATCATTGTACCCACATCTGGTCGTGCACCCTTGTTTTGTAATTACTCATCTTGAACAATCTGGTACTTTCGTCGGACTACAACTCCATCTCTGCTGTAATTAAATCCTTGATTTATAACATTTCTTCATCCTTTACTTCTTCCGTGCAAGGAATAGCGGAGCAGGCAATGGCAGCAACATTGGCATAGATTGCATTTGTATCTATGTAAGTATTATTTTTACAATGAACTGTATTAACGGATGCACCGCTGCAACGGACGCCGTTGCTCTCCCATGGTGCGAACGTGAGGCAGTGTGCGTGCCCTCGAGGCCGGCACCGATGGGTTACTGCGGTGCGGGTTCTACTCGAAGGGAGGAGAGGAGGAGAGGAGAGGATGGGAGCGGACAAAAGGGGATTGGGGATCGAGGAGGAAGGAAGGGAGCAGTGTGGGATTGAGAAGTAACGACACACCACTCTGAATTGATTCCAAAGGCATCGTCCGCCGGGCAATACTCCCAGAGGTATCTGATGGCCAACAGACGTGTGAGTCCTCCTCCATCGGTAGCACATCCCTGTCCTGAAACACCAAATGGCCCACGGAAAGATGTGCCACGGCCGAGGGTGCAGAAAGAGACCGCACCATGGTCATGGCAGGACGACGCTGCGGCTGGCAGACTCAGCAGCCACGCTACAACTCTCTCCACAACACCGGACGCCGCAAAAGAAAACGTGCATGATTGCGAGGACGAACGTGTGTGCAGGATCAACACCGTTATAGACCTCTCGTGGTATTCATTTTGCATGCATGTTGACAGCAGATTACGAGGACACGGTTTCGTAGACCTTGAGACGCAGGTTTGCAGACTGAGCAAGGTTAATGGGACCCGCTTGTCAGACAGAGAGAGGTGGTGGTAGGGAAAACGCATAGACTTTGGAGTAGCAAGGATCAAGATGTGGCGGTGGCGAGAGGTGAAGATGGACACACTTTGATTTGAAATCTGAGGCAATCTATCTTGGGGCTCGGGGAGAGCACAGCACTCGGGAATTGATTGAAGCATACATGTAGGGTGTCGACGATGGGAGAGCAAAGAGGGCTAATCAGGGATGAGGGTTTGGCCTGGCAGTGACGAGCGAGGAAGCGACTTCGGCAAACACACACTGTTGCATAACAGCACCAAACAATGTGGTGTCGTTGTACTCAATGTCGTCGAAGGGGCTTCAAGGGCCCTCATCGTTGCGCACGCAGTATCGAGACCCATCGGGCATTGCCTGCTCCCCCGATCCCGTACCTTAGCCGACGTTGGAAAAAAATAGTTTCAACATCGGCCAAAAAAATAGTTTGCAGATTGTCAAAATGAGAAATAAATACTTGGGATGACTCAGAAAATATATTTTTGGTGTGGAACTCGACCGAAAAATATATTTTGAGAAGTCAAAATAAAATATTCAGAAGAGCAGATGTAAAATATAGTTGGGATGAATAAAGCACTAACTTGAACAGCATAGCCGGGCCCCTGCCACACATTGGCGACTATCTTTATTCCATTTGTGATTATCACTACTTTCTCTTTACTTTGGCAAACAAAGTACCTGGGCCCTGAATGATGACCATTGAGAAAGGGTGCATAGCATCGCATATTGACTTCGTGGCAAAAAAAAAAAAGATTTTCATTGTCTACGTCCGAACTTGAACTCGTTCCAAAGTCTCAAATAGAAGATAGAAATGAGCTCACCATCTTCGATTAAACTTTCACGGGCACAACCTCACTTGCGGGAAACGTCATTGGGCCTTCATTCACATGCTTTCCATCTGCACCGAATATTCCTAGGACAACATAATAGGTTGCGACCCCTGCGGTCGTCGCTGCAACTGAGACAACCACGAAAACGCCAGGCCAACCTTGTACAACGCACATGATCTTGACACTATCAGGTCTTGGTCCTGCGCAACTGACTCCACTGACAATGTTCAAGTCACCAGCACTCTGGCCTTCAGACTGTATCTCACGAGGTCAGCGACATAATAAAGGAACCTAAGCAACGACAGAAGGCTTACTGACATAGAGGGTGCGAAAGAGATGGCTATCCTGTGAATATCCCATGTTATATAGGTACTGAGCGCTAATCCTGTACTCGTGTTGATCTTTTAATATTGGTCCAATACGGACCGACACCACTTCTATGTCAGTTGAAGACAGTTTTGGCTCGAGAGAGGCCGAACGAGTCGAAAGGGACTTGTACGGCTATAATCTGTTCAGCTCAAGTTCAACCCACTTCTTGACTTCTGGTGCGGAGAGGCAGTGATTCTGCGAAAGACGAGTCCGGAAGAGTTGGAGATAACACGAGAAGGTAGAACTTGCGTGAAGCACTTTGGGCATGTGATAGATAGGGCGGCTTCAAGAAATACAAACAAAACAGATGGCGCCAGAGGTGTTAGCGTCAAATATGGAGATGGGGTGCTGAGTTTGGAGGGCGTAATTGAGGTTCACCATAATTCGAAGGAATTGAACAATCAAGCTCGAGGTGGTTGGACAAGAGAGCCGAACACCGACTAAATGAAATCGAGAAGAGGAAATGACTTGTTCATGGACGAGTTTACGAGGAAAGAAACTAGAGGACTTGGTGTCGAATGATGAGAAATATGATGGGTGGCTGTGTCGCACGCTTTCACGAGACGCGAGTTTAAGGCTCAAACCATTTAGTTTTCGTGTATGGGACCAGGCAAATTAAACAGAAACAGTAGTTAAACAGTTTAAAACCATTTAAAACTGTTTTAAACAGTATTTTTCAAAGGCATTCAAAAGCAGTGTATGTACTTGGTCACCAGCTACTTATTTTCATCCATAACTCTCTTTGTCCTTATCGTTCACTGCATTGCTGAATTTTGGGGAGAAAGACTGCACACCAACAACAATGAACAACTCAATGACAGCAACCTCGGGTGAGTTGAATGAAAGC